CCCCAGGGACAGCTGTGGCTACGGAGAGAGGCTCTCAGGAATGTGGGAAGAGAGAACAGGACTCAGGTGGGGCCATGTGACGAGAGAAGAGGCCACGACTGACAGACAAATACAAAGATGCTCGACGGCTTTCCTGACATCTGCGCCAGGCACGGCTATTGTCCCACCAGAGGGCGAAGCAGAAGTGGAGCCTCCCTGGGAACCTGGACGCTGCTCACCGAGTAAACATGGGAGGCTGGCGGGATGTCGTAGTCATTGGGCTCCGAGGGCTCAGCCCCAGCACTGCAGCTCTTGGTGCCACCTTCCATGTCATAGAGCTGACCATCCTTGGAGGCCTTGTGGATCTCAGCCACCTAAAGACAGGCAGGGAGATCAAGGCACCCACAGCTTCTGCATAGCCCCAGTCCAGATGCCCCAATCCTGCTGTGCATTAAGTGGAGGGGATGCTAGGGAAGTGCTAGCTCCCACTGGGATGAAAGCTCCGAGAAGGAGCTTCACCGCTGTTAGGGGCTCCAGGCCAGCGGTTGGCTGGTGGCTTCTGAACAGGAGAGGCGGCCTTGTCCTGTCCCCAGACTATGAGCATGCACTGCCTGCTGGCCTCCTTGGCCCAAGCCTACCTTCTTCAGAACGCTGGCCTTGTACAGGTTGACCATCTTGGCGTTTCGGAATGCCCCATACTCCAGCTCCACAGCCTTGGCCTGCAGGTCAGCTCTGTGGGAAGGAATGAGAGCAAGACAATAGGCCTGAGTCCTCTCCCGCGGTCCTCCTGGCGTCTCTTCAGAGACCACGGGCTAGCCTCAGGGCCTGGTGAGGATGCGCACGTGGATTCTGAGCAGGCTTCTCTAGGTACCCTACAGCCCACTGTCCTTCAGTGGCCTTTGGCAGTCTCTGGTAAGGCTGCAGGGACTGGAAGCCATGGAGTAGGACGGATCACAACCGGCGGAGAGGCATTCTCTGAAGGAACAAGCCTTGGTCCTTCCCCTTGAGCTCTTGAACACTCACCCGTCAGGGAACCCTGCAGCCTGGTGATTACGGCTCAGCGCCTCCTCCAGAAGTTGCAGGCAGTGCTCACGGGCCTATGAGGAGAGTGACGTCTTGGTCACCCACCCTCAGGGTCAGGGAAGGGCCTGAGAGCAAGTGAAGAGGCATCCTTCTCATACCTTCACTGTGAGCTTAGGGATCCTCCTGCTCGAAGCCTCTCTCAGGGGACAGTCTTCATCTGAGAAAAGGGCAGAAAGGGCTTTCCACTGGGCCATCTCTCTGGGGTCCCCCAACCCTCACTGAGCCACCCACTGTTCACAACCAGGCACAGCACCCCAGCCCCTGGGGCATTTCTGTACCTACCTGGGGGTGTGAATTCTTCTATCTTGGGCTCTTTGCTCTGGAAGACAGACAGCATGAGAAACCATGAGACATCCTGCCCTGTTGCAGGGCAGCTCCTACTGAGGTGGCGAAGAGGGGACCATCCAGGGTCTTGCATGGACCACTGTGTGCTGGTTATTTTTTAGGGGGTGGGAAGGACACATTGGAGACAGGGTTCACTATGTCATCCCTGTCTTTGTCTCAGATCTGCCTGCCTCTTCCTCCCAAGTGCTAGGATCAAAGCCATGAGCCACCATGCTGGCTTAGGTTTTTTTGTTTACTTGACAGAAACTAGAGTCATCTAGAAGAGGGAACCTCAATTGAGGAATGGTCTCTGGCAGACTGGTCTGGGGAGGCATTTTCTTACTTGATGTGGGATGGCCCAGATTACTATGGGTTTTGCTATTCCTGGGCCAGTGGTCTCTTGCACAAGCTGAGCAAGAGAGTGGCGCTCCTCCATGGTCCCTGCATCCATTCTACCTCCAGGATCCTGACTTCCCCTGATGCTGGATGGTGATGCAGAAAGTGTCAGCCAAATGAAGCCCTTGCTTCCCAATTTGGTTTTGGTCACAGCACTGGAAACTAACAGAGCCACTGAGCCCTGTCATGGTATCTGCCACCTTTACCTTGCGCAGGCTCATCTGCTTCTGATAGAAAAGATTCCATTGCCGCTTGTGGGCCTCATCTCTGCCCTCATCACCGCTCCCTCCAGAACCTTCATCATACCTAGAGGACGGGCGAGGCGTGAGCAGCCAGGGTCGGGGCTCTGCTCTTCCCCGATCTTCAGGCACATCATTAAAGCCCAGGCCCCAGGAAGAGCCCACGCCACGCTGCAGAAGGCGACCTTGGCCTGGCTAGGGCCAGCGGATGCATTTCACTGTCCTCACCTGCTGAAGCCCCCGTAGCCTCTGCGGCCTCCCTCATACAGCTCAGGGTCGAAGTCGTCCCCCTGGCAGGGCCTGATGCAGGTTTTGCTCCAGCTGCTGCTGCGCTCCAGGGCATCAAGCTTCTTCCTTACAGCCGCAGGACTCTGGCAGTGGTCACAGCCTTTGGCGCAGGCAGGAGGTGCATCCCCAAAGTACTTGGCAATGGCAGCATGGCGGCACCTAGAGTAAGCAGTGCCAATGGGACTGGGGCTGAAGCAAGCAATGTTGTCCGCCCAGTCTCCAAGCTCTGATTCACTATCTAGCACCACTCTTGATGCTTCATACCTTTCAAAGCCCTTCCTAGATTTGTTCTATGTGTATCAGTGACCCCTGGTGCCTAAGGTCAGGACTTGTTCCAGATGGGTTGTGAGCCTGCAGGGCAGGGGGTGCTGAGAACTGAACCGGGGTCCTCTGCAAATACAGTATATGCTCTTAACCTCTGAGTCATGTCTCCAGTCCCTGTTCTGTACCCTTTTATTTACAGGGGCTTGTGGAGCATCACCGGGGGCTGCCCAGTGCAGAACTTCCCCATAGTCATGCACTGGGAGACTGGGGGTCGGGATGTGAACCTCATTCTGTTCTGTGAGCTCTGGGACCCTGCTCTTCCCTCTCCCCGCAGTGCTGGAATGCCCTGGTGAGCTGAGGCTCTGGCACAGATACTGGTTCTGCCACCAAGGCTATGTCAGTGAGAAAACATTTCACCCTTGAATTCCATGACCTTTCCACTTACGCTGCTGGAGGCGCAGTGGTACAATGGAGCATGGTGGGGTCATCTCACAGGCTGTGAGCTGCTGGCAAGCACTACAGGGATAGTCCTCACTGTGGGGAAGGAGGGAAGGACAGGAAAGGGCCATGCCATCCAAGTGCTTTGTCTGCTTGGCTCTTTTTCTTCCATTATTTAGAGGCAGGGTCTCACTATGTAGCCAGGACTTGCCCAAGATTCACTATGTAGACTGGAATGGCTTCAAACACACAGAGATCTGTCTGTCTCTGCCTCCCAAGTACTGGGATTAGAGGTTGTGTGCAACCACACTGGTGTTTTTCTGTTGTTGTTGTGTCCTAAGCTAGGGTCTCACTATAGCTCAGGGTGGCTTTGAACACATGCTTCAGATTCCTAAGTCCTGGGATTGCAGGCGTGAGCAAGTCTCGATCTTTCCTTAGAGACCTCTAGCTCCTCCTGGCCCCTACCGTGAGCCCCTGCTCCAGGCCAAGGGCTGCCCTTGGCGCAGCTCCTCGAGTGGCAGTTCTCAACCCACGGTAGTAACCCCTTTGGGGCTTGGGTGTTCCTTTCAGAGGGGTCACCTAAGACCATCAGAAACAGATACTTACATTTTGATTCATGAAAGTAGCAACATTGCAGTTATGAAGTAGCACTGAAAATAATTTTATGATTGGGGTCACCACATGTATTAAAGGGTTAGAAAGGTTGAGAGCCACTGTCCTAGAGACAGCAGGTTGGAGAGCGGCTATTATGCCTAGTCACTGTTGAACCCAGCCAGTCAGGGAGACACAACCTCACTAGAGCGTCCCCTCTCACCTACTCCCAGATGTTCCCCTTGGGGTAACTACTCTGCCTAGTGCAGGAAGCTCTGTTTGTTTTCTGACCCCAGGTTGAGGCTCTGGGAGTGGCCGGCCACTGTCCTAGGGTCCTTACCAGACAGTCTACTGCTAGGAGTGTGGTATGAGGCTGGGGAAGCACAGAGAAAGACACCAGAGGCAAGGCCGTCTGAGTGCCCAGTCTAAAGACAAGAAGAGCTGGCAAAAATTGCTTCTAACAGAGCTCATCTTAGTGTGAGTACTGTCTGGGGATCTGATCCCAGAGAGCAGCCAGTTGGAACACAAGCCCCTAAAGAAGCAGGGTCCCTTGGGGGCTGGAGAGATGGCTCGTCGGTTAAGACTGCTCTTCCAGAGGTTCTGAGTTCAATTCCCAGCAACCACAAGGTGGCTCACAAGCACCTGTAATGAGGTCTGGTCCCTCTTTTGGCCTGCAGACATACATGCAGGCGATACACTGTTTACATAATAAATAAATCTTTAAAAAAATAAAAATAATAAAGAAGCAGCAGGGTCCCCGAAACCAAGTGACAAAAGCAGCAGGAGCCAGCAGAGGCAGCCACTGGGGGCGCTCTTGCAGCTCCACTAACACTGAATATATGGCAACTGTTCCTTCCCTCTGCTCAAGACTGCTGCTGTACAGAGGTGGCCTGTCCTGTCTCTGGCACTGTGGCCATATGGTTGCTGACACCCTGCCCCCCAGCTCTGACTCACTGGGGTTCTGTGCTCAGATTCAAAGGCCTCCATTGACTGCAGGGCTGAGGTTAGTTTCTCCCCTGCAGCCTGGTCTGCTGGGTGGCAAGACTGTCAAACGTTAATGGGTCTGGCCGCCTGAGAACAGGGCCGGGAGTGTGTGGAGCCAGCTAGGCAGAATGAGACCAATATTGTCCCACTGTCCTTTCTGTTAGGCCTTTCATCAAAACAAGCCTCTCATCAAAACAAGCAGGCTACTTTTAAGGTATTTAGGATCCTCAAATTTCCAGCAAGATGCCTCTGGGTACTGAGCAGCAGAAGTGCCACACCAGAGGGTGAGTGCAAAGCTTGCTGGCTTGCTTGGGTGGCCCCATAGCTCCTCTGTTTTTCTTCCTGGGAGAAGCCAGAGGGAGCAGCTAGGGAGTGGCCCAAGAGACAGACTGGGGTGGTCAGGAACACAAGCCAAAAAGGCCATCCAGAGGGTGGTGGGATGCTCAAGAGGGAGGTACTCCATTCTCTTCTCCCAGCAACCTCAGACTGAGACCTTGGAGTTATTTCCACAGGGAACCACAGCCAACAACTTCTGTCATTAGCCCAGCCCTCAGGCGGGAGGGCAGAGCAGGGGAGGAGTAAGCTGTTTTTTTGGGGATCCTGAGAGTAGAGCGGACCTCCTGGGCAAGGAAGGCACTGGGTGTGAAGTATGAAGTCTTGAGGGTTCCTCTGGCTCCGCCTCACAATGGTAACATGACACCTAGATCTCCAGGGCAACCAACAACAAAAAAGCCGAAGCTGGACAGCAGTTGGCTGTCTGCAGCCAAGAGCTCGCTCTAAGAAGTGCCTAAGCCGCGGGCAGGAAAGCAGTAGCACGGGCAGGAAAGCAGCAGCGCTGGTGAAGCCATCAGAGGTGGTGGCAAAGGACTGAGAGGAAGCACACAACGGCTCTCCTCTTCTTGGCTCCCCAATATCTGAGCTCCCAGGTAAGTGACACAGGCCAGAGGTAACAGGGTGCAGAAGAGGAGGGAACGGGCAGTCAGCATCTCGTATCTCCCACAACTTACCATGAGCTCAAAGAGGAACATTTTGGGGGGTACACTGGGCCACTGTCCTACCGGGAACTAAGTCACCTCCTGTATACACCTGAGCTCTCTCTTCCTTTGGGACAGAGCACTAGAGAAGGGGGATGTCCTGTCACTTACTGTGTAGCAGGGAGCTGGGGGCCTGCTGACTTGACACATTAAGCCTTTTCTATTCAGTGAGCTTAAAATAGGACCCACACACCCACTGAGCCTCCATTTGCCCAAGGACTAGGGCTGAGCCTTAGTTTCTCAAGGCTCAGGACAAGGTATGCCTAGCCGGCTCACTGGCCCCAGACCCAGGACTGAGATGAACCTGGAGCAGAACCGCCTACTTGGGGTCCGGACGAGAGCAGCAGCTTCCTCGTCTTCTGGGGCTCTGACCTGCTCATTGCTACATTTCCAGCTCAGGATTAGCCCAGGGAGGAGTCTCCACAACCACTTAGGTTCCGGGGATCCCCTGGGTCCTCCTTTGGCCATGATCTCTGAAAACTGAACGAGAGACATGCATGCCTGATTCTAAACCCATGGCTGGAGGGGAGATGGGGACTGCACGGATGAGGCTGGGGAGTGACCCCAGGATTCTATTTCATGCCACACCACTGGAAAGGTGACCCTGGGACATTCTTTGGTTCATTCTTTGGACAGCACAAGCACAACCTTCCTGGGCAGGGAAGCTGCTCGCCCCTCCTGCCTTCTGTCCTCACACCAGGGTTCAAGTCCCCCAGAGATGTTCCTTCCAAAGCAAACAAGCTGTTATCCAGTAAGAAAGAAAAACATCGTCCAGGTTTGGAAGGCAAACAGAAGGCCCAGTATCCTTGGCTCAGCAGAGGGAGTGGGCTTTGGCTACTTTTAAGATATTTAGGATCCTCAAATTTCCAGCAAATTTGAGGCTGGGGTACTAACTCCCATGGCTATAGTGAGAAGTGCAGCGTTGAGGAGACTAAAGTCACAATGGGGACGGCACAGCAGGACAGGAGAAGGGGACATGGCAGTGAGCTGTGAGCCATGGGACCCCAGAGGCAGGAGGGTGACCGGCACCCACAAAACCCTGGCTTCTGTAGTCCCTGAGTCAAAAGGGAAGCCCAGCTTTACAAATGCAGATTGAGAAGCTTGCTTAATTTCTACACACCACCAGAGCTCTCCCTGTTCTGGGAAGCTCGGGGGCCAGGGCAGCAGAACCACCCATTTCTGATTTCAAACTGGAGCCCCACAGAGATGGAGTCGCTCAGACACTCAGCATGGCACACAGTGGACATCTCCGCCCTGATGGTCAGGCCGTTGGAGCCCTCAGATCTCTTTTGCACATCTACTGGCTATACCTCATTCAGTATGCTTCTCAAACATGACTATGCTGCAGGAGCCACCATGACAAGACGACAGGGCACAGCAAGAGGCCCTTTGGGGCTGCAAGCCTTCGGTGACAAATGACACTGCTTATCAGGTACAGACACACTGCCTGCCCTGTCCCCGTGGCAGCTGGGGCTGACGATCAGGTTTACAATGAGGAAGCGGAGAAACTGCGGGACAGGACAGCCGCTTACTCTACAGCCACCTGCCACACAAAGGAATGCTAGTCAGTCCCCCCAGCCCGGTCAGTTTCCTTCTCTGTTGTGCTAGCTCTCCCTGACCATTGCCTGTAACCCAGCCAGGAGCATCCTCAAAAGATTCCAAGTGCTGTGCAGGCAGCCTGGGCAGCAGGTGGACCCAGTGGCAGCCAGAGCTGTTCTCCACGGGAAGCTACCACTTGCTCTACTGAAGATGGCATTAAGAGACTCTTTCTAGTCCCCATGTTCTTGATCGAAATGTATGGTTGAGAAAGAACTGGGTAAACCTGGGATAGAAAGTCCAGGAAACACAGAATTACCAGTAGCTCTGCTCTGTTTTCTCCAAACTTAGGGGGTTATCCAGTCAACGGGCCAACCCCAGGGCTCCCACTCCCCCTGGCCACAGCTGGGGAACAAGGTCACCTAACAACCACTGGTTATATTGGGCACCAGGCGTCTGTTGGCCCTGCTTTAAATAGCCCACTGGGAAGACGCCTGGGGAGCTGCCGGAATGCGCCTCTTTCCTCTTTGGAGAACAAGACCCCTTTGCCCCCCTTCCCTCGTCATGTGCCTGTTCTGTTGGTCAGAGCTTAAAATAACAAAATTATCAGCTGCCAAGCAAAGAGCTCCTCTTCGGCCCTTTGAGGGCAGAGAGCCATACCTAGCAGCACCACTTCTGCTGGTAAAAGGCAGACCTGGCAGGCAGCCCCAGACCAGGTCCCACCTAGTTTCCAGTAGGCTGCCTACAGAAGGCCTGGGCACAGCTGTGTGGTGTCCACACAAGGAGTTCTATCGGAGGAGAGCTCTGCAGGAGCAGGCAGGAGTCTGCAGTTCTCCAGCTTCGCAAGCCAAGCAGAGAGCAGGGAAGAGTGGGGCAGGAGAGAGAAGCTGGGAGCAACTCTGCTAGCTGAGACCTTAGACCTCCCTGTGCAGCAGGGACCCCGAGCCACTGCCTTCTGCCCTGGAAACTGGACATTGAGACCTTCCAGCTAGACCTAGGGTCCCAAGCAGGTGCCTCATCCCTGCCTCACCCCCCCCCCCCGCCAGTCTCTCTCTAGGTCTTTGGGTGTGGTGCACAGAAAGCTCTCCTGACCACCATCCTCCTGTCCGCTTCTGCTTTTAAGGAGTGCCTCCATTGGGCTCGTGAGGCAATGTGGGCACAGTGCCAGCCAGGCTGAACAGGCCAACCCAAACACAGATGGAGAGGGAGGGTGAAAGGCAGCAGCCCTGGTTCTGAACCATATGCACACCACTTCTGTGGGGTGGGAATGATGCTGAGGTCCCGGACAGGAGAGCGGATGGATCACTTTTGCAAGCACGCCCTAGCTGCAGTCTTTGGTCTGACCAGAAGGAATGTCCTTATGTTCACACCAGCAGGACATACAGATCTATGCATTTAGTGACAGACAGCAGTGCAGTTCTCAAAAGCCTGGAGTGCCCCACTGTGGTGGTGAGGAACTGATAAAACTGATGCCCCCGCCGCTCGTAAGAGGTGAGCACAGCTCACGGGTTTCTAAAGAGCTATGGCCTGGTTCGTATGGTCTGTGACTCAGGCAGGGGATCAGCTGTGCTGTTGTATGTGGCTCCTCAAAGCCAAATGGGCCTCCATAAAGAGTGCATGGGTAGTAGGTGGTGCACGGGCTGGGTCCATCCTTGACTTCCCTGGCCCTGTCAGTCCCCACCCAGAGAAAGTTCCCGCAGCCAAGCCCCTCCCAAAGGCCTCTCATCCCAACAACACAGAGATAAAGAGCCTGTCCATCGCACAAGATGGGGAGGGGTAAATAGCGAGGTGGTGGGGGAGGGGTAAATAGCGAGGCGGTGGTGCACACCTTTAATCCCATCTTGGGAGGCAGAGGCAGGAGGATCTCTGAGTTTGAGGCCAGTCTGGTCTATAGAGCGAGTTCCAGGACAGCCAGGGCTACTACACAAAGAAACCTTGTCTTGAAAAGCAAGCAAATAAAAAACCATTTCTATAAAGGGTGTATGAGGTTAGAGAAGGCACCACAGGGCTGGGGATGCAGCTCTGTGGTACAGGACTTGCCCAGAGTAAAAAAGGCCCTGGCGCCCATTCCCCAGTAGCACAAACATGACAAAACAGGAACAACAAACTCAGAGAAGGCACCACATGCTTCACAGAGAGGAAACCAGCGGCTGGCGGCTGGGATCGTTCCTGAAGAAGGGTGACCAGCCAGGGCCTAAATCACTAATTAGGCCTCAGTGGAGGCAGTAAGGGCCTGGCCTTCTATGATGGGCTGTAGGCAGCCAGGGACTCTCATTCTCAGAGACTCGGGCAGAGACTGCGCAGCACAAGTGCAGAGAGCCTTCATGTAGGATGACCCTGCCCCATGACCTTCAAGGGAGTTTTAGGCCTACTGTGTGCCAGGCAGGAATGCTGGAAGTGACCAGTCTCACAGACCACAGCGGAGGACACCTGCCTGGTTGAGATTGCCAATGTGGCAATCACCAAAGACACAAGCCCCTGGTCCCCTGCCCCCATCCCTCAGGAAGAGCCAGTTTGGATGCTTTGGGACAAGGCTGTCCCGGTTCCTGCTCACTCACAGGAGCTGATGCTCAACGGCTCCACCGAGGAACTCAGTCAAGAGCTTTGTCCAGGCTCTCTCGGGGAAGCCATGGCCAGCCTGACTGCAGTCAGGCCTTCTCTGGTTACAACAGGTCCAGCACTCCAGGAGGGAAGAGCTGGCTGACCTAGTCCTAGAGCTCCCATCTGAATGATAGCCCTAGGGAATACTATGTGACCCCTTCTTCCTTACCTGACAAGAACGAGTAAAGAAAGTGGCTTGGTAGCAGAGGAGGGTCCTTGGGGACTCAGCATCATATCCTTCAAGGGACAACCCTTCCCTCAGTTTTTGCCTATAGCTGATCCCAGCTAGAGTCCCCATAATCCTGTTCCTGGAGTCTGATTCCCCTCCCACACAGAACCCTGAGGCCTGTCTTGCTACCCTAAGGCCATCTTGGGGAGGTACCAAAATGCTGAGTGACCCAGAGGCTGGCAGGGGAGCTGTGTCAGCTGGGGCACCCCAGTCAAACCTGCTATTTGTGTTTCAAGACAAAGGAACGCAAGAGCCGAGCCCCGTATGAATGGGCAGGTGAACTGTCATCAGCTGCGGCCATCTGGTGGCCTCTCAAAGGCTCTCCGGGTCATATCTATCACAAGCTGCACTGGCCCTGGGCAGCTCCCGCCAAGTGTGGGCCGAGGGCTAGCTACCCTACCATCGAGCAGAGTTCCCCAGCTGCCCGTCTCCCTCTGCCTGGGATCCACCAGCGGTGCAGGGCTGAGACTGACAAACCTGTTCTGCAGGCTATGGTGGGAGAGGCTGCTTCCCTGGAGTTACCTCCCAGCTCATAAGCAGTTCGGCAGGGACTGACTCTACGGTGCTGTCTGTGTTGTTACAGAACACAGGAGCCCTAGCAACATGGCAGTCACAGACTTTGTGGAGGAGATTCGCTCTGTGGGTAAGAGGCTGCTGCTGAAGCTGCAAGGACTGCCCCAGGCTGAGCCCGTGGAGCTGGTGGCCTTCTCTATCATCGTTCTTTTCACAGGCAAGTGGGGCACCTGGCCTCTGGCCTTTAGCCCTGTCCCCTCAGTGTCCTATGGGCTCTTCCTGATAATTGGGAGACCACGCCATGGTGCTGGCTGGAAGGTTGGAAAGTAGGGAAAGTGGTGTCCCAGGAAAGCTAAGAGAGTTGCCCCACTCTCTGACATTGCCTGAGTTGCTAGGCAGTGCTGGAAACTGGATACCACCAGGTATCAACCACAAACTGAAAGGAGTCAGGCTTGGGCAGTGGAGCAAGAGACAGACAGGACCCTCCCTATCAGCCACTCTGGTCTTTGTGACCACTGCTCCAGACTGGGGGCGGGGCAGGTCCTTTGGAGGGAGGGTGGGCATCCCTTCCTCCCCTGGCTTTTCAGCCCTGGACCATCCTCTCCCTTTCTCCCTTCAGCTACGGTCCTGCTGCTGCTGATGTTGGCCTGTAGCTGCTGCTGTGTGCGCTGCTGCTGCCCCGACAGGAGAAGCAGGAAGATCCTTGTGCAACCCGTAAAACCCAGATGAGGGACAGTAGTGTGATGACCCAAGAGAAGCTGGACAGGAGCCTTCCCGAACCGTGACACAGACTATCATCCTGGCTACTTCTGGCACTGCCCAGGTGACAGACAGGGTAGACATCTGGAGCCTTATCAAGGAAACAAGTGTTGCTCAACTTGCCAATGGACACCAGCGCTTAGAGGAGTCAACTGTTTCAAAGGCCCAGGAAACCCCTGAGGGCTTCTGCTGTACTTTTGAGGAGCCCCATATTTTGAACAGCTCATGGATATGGGGAGGCAGGCCCTGGGCTCTGCTGATTTATGCCAAAGAGAAGTAAACTGATCAGGGACTTTGTGCAATTTACTAAACTCCAAGCCTCTGTCTGAAGGGGTGGGAACAGGTCAGTATTCTAGCTGAAATTTGCTTACTTCCAAGTAAAGCTTTTTTGGTTACGTGCTTATAAGGTGTTTGGCTATGTATATTTATGCGCAGGTGGCTCTGTGCATCAGGACAGTGTCAGAGCTCTAGGGGCATGGCCAGTGACTGACTTTCTTTCCAGGCTACTGCTCTTTGTGTGCCCACGAAGGCTGGGAAATCACACAGGAAGGAAGGCCACAGAGACATCAATGCCGCGCGCGGGACCAGTGCAGGGCCACTGGCAACACTGCTACTAACAGGGCTGCTTCCAGAGTCCCACTCTGTTGAGTGATGGAGGCCAATGCCCTAGGACAGGTGCTGAGCCCAGGAATGCCATGACTATTTCCTGCTGTCTGTATCCCCCCCGACTAGCACCTTCAGGTCACTGAGTCCTCCCACATTTCTTCAGGCTGTTGTACTTGTACACCGAGCCTTCGGCCCGGCCCTGTTCCTATCGGTGTGCTCACAACCTCAGCTGACCAATCCTCTTAAGCCAGGCTTCCTTCTGGTGAGATGGACTAACCCTGGCACCTGCTTCCCGTGGTATGCTAGGAGTGTAAAGCAGACAGCCCAAGTCTAGCCCAGTGCTAGACATGCTTTAGAAACTCCGCAATTAGCAACTGCCATTATTTGCCCCTCTAAATGGGCTAGCCCAGAGCACAGTGGACCCATGTTAAAGAACAGCGCTGCTGAAATGCCGCCATCCTCCTCCCCTGCAGGTTACTGTCTTCTAGACGCACAGCTACAAACCGAAACATGAAATGTGCGGAGGGGCACAGACACGTATGTCTCCATACATGCCAACAGGGTCAGGACTGGCTCCGATTACTCCCACTTGTGTCACCTAAGTCTGTGCAACACACATTCTGCTTGTCTGGGAGCAGAGTTCAGCCTACCTTGAAAACAGGTCTCAGTAAGGGAAGTCAGCCCCTGCCACCTCCAGCTGGCAGCCTAGGCTGTACAGGCAAGGCCAACAGGAATTCTTGCTAGCTGGTTTGACTACCTGGTAGCCACAGACTTGCCTGACAGGTTTGGGTTATTGAAACCAAGAAAGGAAGTGTTTCCAAACAAAGAAAAAGAAATCTAAGAATCCACCTGTCCTCGGCCCCTAAAATTGGAATTCAGAGTCAAACACATCTTTAATCCCAGCACTCTGAGAGGCAGAAGCAGGTGGACCTCTGTGAGTTCCAGGTCGGCCAGGGCTACTTAAGACCCCTTCTCGGGGCTGGAGAGATGGCTCATCGGTTAAGAGCACCTGGATTCAATTCTCAGCATCTACTTACTGTCTGTTACTCCAGGTACAGGGAATCTGACACCCTCACCCAGAAATACATGCAGGCAAAGCACCAATCACTGTTTATTAAAAAAACAAACAACAAATGAACAAAAAAAAAACTTTATCAAAACCAAAAACAAAATAAAACAAAAAATACCAAACCGACAAGAAAACCTGAACGATGCTAATAAAGACAGTTAAAATCCAGAGGGCTAGGCCATGCTGTGCTACCTTTAAAAAAAATTTAATGGGAGAGGCTGGAAAGATGGCTCAGTGTTTAAGAGCACTGGCTGTTCTTCCAGAGGTCCTGAGTTCAATTCCCAGCAAGTGCATGGTGGCTCACAACCGTCTGTAATGACATTTGATGCCCTCTTCTGGCTTGCAGGCACACATGCAGACAGAATACTGTGTACATAATAAACACATAAATCTTTTTTTATGTAATGTAATGGTGTTGGGAATGAAGCCCAGAAGACTGTGCACTAGGCAAGTACTCTGCCACCGAAACACAACCCAGGCCCTAGAAGTTGTCTTAAGCTAAGTTTCAATTCACCGCACCCCTGCCTTAGCCTCTTAAGTATGAGGATTACATGTAATGTGCCCTGCTTGCTTGGGGCTTTTTTTTTTTTTTTTAAGTCTTCTCTTTTTAAAACAATCTCACTAAGTGGCCCTGGCTGGAAGTCAATATGCACCTAACTTGGGGCTGTTCTCTGCCTCTGGAGTGCTGGGATTACAGGCATGGCCCACCATACCCCACTTCTGTCTTGAGCATTCTGTTGCAGATAAATTCACTTAACCATCATGGTGCTTCAGTCCTGTAGATGCCTTTATTATTCTGGTTGTCAGAGGAGGGAGATCAGCCTCAGTGCAGCCAGCTAAAATGTGGCAAAGCCAGCTCTGGGTCCAGCCCGTCTGGCTTCAGTTCCCTGCTCACCACACCTAGGGCTTGAGGCCTCTGGGACACAAGGCAGAGGTGTTGACCCCATTATCTCCATTAGCCAACCCTACATCCAAGCACCCACACCCAAACTCTGTCTCAAGATTGCTTCTGTGTAGTGGGCGGAAATCCAACACCCAGCTACCCAAAGAGAAGCCCGGGGGTAGTGGAAGGAGTGGAAACCTGCATTTCTTACTCCAGCACCTCACAGGAGGTCCCTCGAAGCCCTCAGTTCAGGAACAGCAGCCCAGTTCCTTCCAGAATCTTCTTTAAGCAGGATTTAATTAGCATCAGGAAAAGCCTTGCTGTAGGATGGCTAAGGTCGGGGACCCCTCCTTTGCTAGAAAAGATTCTGGTTCCTAGTCTAGCTGCAGAGCAGGGGGTACCATGGACAACCCTGGGCATAGCCTAAGTAGCCAGTTCGCTTGCACCTTCCTACCCCATGCTAGGTCAGTCCATCCTATAAACTAACCAACTGCAGCCTGGCACACTCCGGGATGGCAGACTTCACTGGGGAGGAGGTAGGCGTCTCCCACTGTGGGAAACAGAAATGGTCACTGCAGATCTGACAGCAGCAGCACAGGGCAGACTACTTCAGCTTAGGGACGGTCCCATTGATATAACTGCCCTGTGCCAGGCAAGAACAAGCCATTGTGGTGCACGGAGGCTACCGCAGGCCTCACCAGCTCTCTCGTGGCCTTCCCTCCCACATGGCCTCTGCTCTACCAGTGTCGGTTCTCAGTCCCTCAGGAGGATGAGGAACCGCCTGGTTCACTGCCTGAATTTTATGTCTTGTTACAAACTACAAAATCAAGGTGAGAACAAAAATCACAAAATCACGTCAGCAACGCTTGGTAGAGCACAGACAAGTTTTGTGAAATGTGATACAAATGATACTACAAATTTCATATCATAAAATAAGTGCACAAATTAATTTTGTTCTAAAAACGTTTTCCTCCTCTTTGCGTCCTGTTCCATGACAGGGAATGCTGTCCCTAACTCTCGTCTTTTTTTTTTTTTAAAAAAAGATTTATTTGTTTTTATATGTATGTGTGTCTACATGCAAGTGTACCACATGCATGCTTCTTATCTGAGGTGCCCAGAAGAGGGCATCAGACCCTCTGGAACTGGGGTTACAGATGGTTTCGAGCCACCATGTGGGGCTGGGTATTGAACCTGGGTCCTCTGGAAAAGTAGCTAGTGCTCAAGTCTTTACAACTCCCGCCATTTCCTCACAGAGGAACCCTCAGCGCACAAACCACTTGAGCCTGCAGCACCCTCTCCTGTTCTCATCAATCTCCCCCACAGTGACGGAGACAACAGATCTACCTACTTGGATACAGCAGTTAATTAACTAAAACTAGACAAAGCAGCTTTCTTATGAATGACATTCCCTCTATATATCTGATGTTTTGAGACAGGGTCTCACTATAGATTTCTGGTGGCCTGGTATTCACTATGCAGACCAGGCAGGTCTCAGCTCAAAAGGCCCACCTGTCTCGACCCCTCAAGTGCTAGAATTAAAGGTATATGCCACCATGCCCAGCAGGGTTCTTTTAGTTTTTGGTTTTTTGAGACAGGGTTTCTCTGTGTGGTCCTGGCTGTCCTGGAACTCACTTTGTAGACCTGGCTGGCCTCAAACTCAAAGATCTACCTGCCTCTGCCTCCTGAGTGCTGGAATTAAAGGTATGTGCCACCATTGCCTGGCTTCTTTTGTATCTTTACTATTTATTTATTTATTTATTTATTTATTTATTTATTTCTTATGTATACAACATTCTGCCTCCATGTATGCCTGCATGCCAGAAGAGGGCACCAGATCTCATTATAGATGGCTGTGAGCCACCATGTGGTTGCTGGGAATTGAACTCAGAACCTCTGGAAGAACAGCCAGTCCTCTTAACCACTGAGCCATCTCTCCAGCCCTCTTTTGTATTTTTTAAAGATTTATTTATTATATATATGTGTAAATGTTTGGTGCCCTCAGGGGCCAGAAGAAGGTGCTGGATCATCTGGAAGTAGATTACAGGCGGTCAGGGTCACCTGGCGTGAGTGCTGGGCACTGAACCAAGGTCTTCTGGAAAGAGCAACATGCGCTTCCACTTCTGAACTGTCCTCCAGCCTACAGAAGCTGAGGTGGGAACAGACGGGCACACCTCTTGGGTGGGGCTTGGTCTCTGAGAATGGGCTGCGAACCCGCTCAGCTCTAGCCTTACCTTGTAGTTCTGGTTTCATTAGAACAAGAGTGTGAACACACCTGAAGAACCCGAGTGTAAAATGTCACTACAGAGGGGCCAGCAAGATGGTTCAGTAGGTAAAGGCACTTGCCACCAAACCTAAAGACCTGAATTCAGTTCCCTGGAAGCCACAAGTTAACCTATTTCCAACAAGTTGCCCACTAACCTCCACACACATGCCATGGGATAAAAACACATTCACACATACACAAAATGTATTAAAAATTTTAATGCTGGTGGTGTGTGTGTGTGTGTGTGTGTGTGTAAAAAAGAAAAAATTAATGCTATGAGTCTTACAAAATATGCCCAAAGTTTAGTTCTTTGTGCTTCTTTTGATGGGAATATGGAGTGATATCAAAGTGGCCACATAGGTATTAATTAAAAGGGACAACAGCTCTGTCTGCTCTAAGGTATAGGCCTGAGAGCTGGCTTCAAACTCCAACTGCACAGAATACGTTGCTTAGTCTGTGTGTCTGTCGTCTGTAAAACTCGAGTGTGGGAATCATTGTTTCATTTGTTTATACGATGTCACACTCAGTTCTGTAGTCATAGGTGCACAACAACTATAAACCAGTTTGGGAACAAACAACTGACTCTTGATAAGAACCTGATTTCACTGATAGGCTCATAAAAGTACCAGGGTGTGCCAGAGACCAGCCTGCCAGCTGTGTGCATTTGGCAAGCCAGGAAGTCAGCAAGTTTTACACAAGGAAGTGTAAAGCAACAGGTGAGCCATGGGTCAATCAAGAATGCTTTCCTGAATTTGCTCCTCGCCTGTCAACCTCTCCAGGCTGTATCTGAAGAGACGTCCTGAGAGGATTAGAACAACAGATACCGAGCATTCTAGAAACTGATGTAAGTGGGCATTTCTCAAAACTCTACAGCAGGATTGATGACCTGTGGGCTACGACATGAGCCTCACTGGAGGGAAAAGCCTCTCTTATGATGGGTTGCAGGCCCACACAGCTAAGCTTTAAAGGAGTCAAGCAGAACATGTATGATCAATTCCTTCCTCCCAGTTTTCTCTCTAACCAAGGGGTAGGAACCAACCACATGAAACAGCTGAGGCCATGCCCGGGGCAGGCACAAGAGAAAAAGACTAAGGGTGGCAAGCACTCCCTACCAGAAATGGTTCTGGGAGGCTCCAGCCAGAGCTGCAGCTAACCATTCACCCATACCACAGGAAAGAACGCCTTCCCAAGTAAGCTTCAAGAGGTCACTGAGACGGAGAACTAACACCTGGTGCACACAGGTGAGGTGGACAGGTGGCCTGCAGCACGGGGACACAATCTATACTCTCACCCAAGTTTGACTTCACTCAAGGGCAACTTACAAAATGTCCTGAGCATCTCCACGAGACACCATCACAAAAGGGTAGAACACTGCTGAGGGACTGAGGGAGGGAGTGGCAGTTGCCAGGCAACCAGTCTAGCCCACCTTTGTTTGCTCTGGTGGCAGCAGCCAAGGTGTGGTCAGAGCCATTTGGCAATGCTCTGGGCTGCCAACAGTCATTTCTTTGAGTTGCTGAATATCTGTGGTCACCTGGCAGCCACTTCCACCCAGGAACCCCAAAGTTTAAGGCCTGGAGGACAACCGTGACCTTCCTTTGCCCTCATAAGACACAGCCTATTGGCAGAAGAACCAGGTAATGACGTTTCTTTTCTCCCTAAGCTCTTTTCAGCTGGCTGCAGCCTACTGACACCCGTACGCCTAGGCCTCCTGCTTCCAGCAGTCTCCAGACACTGCCTCAATCACCCTCTGTTCCTATCTACCACCACCACCATCCCCTTTTTAAAGATTCATGGTGTGTGTTCTTCCTACGTGTATATACATCCATACATGCATTCCTGGTACCCTCAGAAGCTAAAAACGGTGTCTGGTGCCCTGAAACTGGCATTATGGATGATATTGTGAGCTGCCACATGGGTGCTGGGAACTGAATTTGGGTCCTCTGCAAGTGATCAGTGTTCTTAACTTCTGAGTAGACATCTCTCCAGTTCCACTTTTTTTTTTTTTTTTGACAGGATTTTGTTGTTCCCTGTTGGCCTGGAATTCTTGGGCTCAAGCAGGAATCCAGCCTTCTGAGGGGCTGAGACTTGTGTGCCATCAATGCCAGTGGGGTTGCTACACCAGTCTCTCAAAATGGAGGCAAATGGGACAATGAAAATAGGGGGAGATCTACAGAGGTACATTTTAGGCTCTAGCTAGGAGGGCCTCAGTGGTGGGAGAGGCATCCTGGCTCATATCCAAGTTGGTCAGAAATGAACCAGAGACTCCCGAGGCCATCCCCAGAGCTTCCAAGCGTGAGAGCCCTCAGTGTTGGCTAGCCAGATGTATCCAGTTGTTCAGTGCAATTGCATGGAGGTTCAGAGAGGGGGCACGGAGAGCAAGGCTGGGGACAAGACCTTCAGAGCTCTCTGCACTCAGGGCCTCTGTCCCCTCTTCCAGATTTACACGGGCGAAATGGTGATCCCCAAGGATACACAGAATGGCGACTTCTGGGATAACTCCTGGGACATGGGGGGCCTGATAGTGATCGGCCTGTTCATCGCCACATTCCTCTTCTTCATCATATTCGCCATTGTGTTCGGGTGTGTGGAAAAGACTGTGTGTGAGGAGGACTGAAGTGACTTCCGGAGCCTTCAGAGGGCAGCAGGGGAAGCCGAGCTGACCTGCTCAGCCCACACCAGCGGGAGCCCTCCACTACCTCGGGCTCAGAATCTAACCACTGGGTCTGGCTTTGGGATTGGTCAATTAGCGGGATGGGAAGGCTGGTCTGATACCATTTCCGGCTCGCACACCCTGCTACCAGCTGAACACTATGAGCGCACGGAGAGGGGCTCTGCTCCACCTCAGGAGACAGCAGCCAAGGCTCACAAGGTCTAATAAGTGTCCCTGCCCAGGCGGCAATTTTACAAGTCCTTCACAGAGAAGGACACAAAATATCAGATGAAGTAAAAATTTCTTTTCAAATCCACTAACGTGAGCTCATCTTCTATGCAGACATGGTTCCAGCCCCTCTAGCAAACCACAGTAAGGGCTGCAAGACCTCAGGGGTCTGCCCTGTAGGCAACAGAATCCTCTTACAAGCTGCTTAGGCCCCTAGGTTCACAAGGTAACTTCAGTTCCTAAACTCTGTCTTTCGCATGCACTCCCCCTGACTGGGCTACCAGGTCACCCTCCGTGGCCTGCATAGTGCTTCCTTGTCTTTCTCATCTCAGCCTAAACCTGTCTCTCTCAAATGCTGGGGTCAGAGACAGGGACAGATGGGGAACTCTGTTACTCTCAGAACACTTTACAGGGTTAGGGAGCTGGCTCAGCAGCTAAGAGCACCAGCAGCTCCTGCAGAGGAAAGGGGTTCGATCCCCAGCACCCATGTGGTGGCTCACAATTATCTGTAACTCCAGTTTCAGGGAAACCAATGCCCCCTCTTCTGCCTCTGTGGGCACCAGGCACACACGGAGAACACTCATACACAGAATTTTAAAAAAGAAAAACAAAACAAAGCCACCATGTACTTTTTCTTCAAAGCCCATTCATGAGCAATTATATAATTTTAAATATTCTGTTTCCCAATGAGACAAGGCTTGGCAAAAGCAAAGGGAAAGAAGCAGACAGATCCACTGGATGATGCTGAGCGGCCGAGCTCCGTAGTCCAGAGACCCACAAGACAATTCTACCCAGAACAAAGGGAAAGCTCCTCTCTGCTCCAAAATGCCCAGACTGCAATTTCAAGCCTAATGACTACAAGGTTAAAGCCCTGCTGTGAGCCTCGCTGCTTTGCGGCTGCAGCTCAGAAATGGCTGCATGGCAGAGACAAGATAAAAACCACTGGCGGCCCCGCCCTGACCACCATATCCCACCCTACACACCCCAACCTTACAACAGTTTCCTTTAGCTGTGTACCCACACAACTGAGCCCACCCCACCGGTCTTACCCCTCACTGCCAGGGGCCTGCCATAAGGGAGGCTGGTGGGAACAGACACCTCAACTTCAGCCTCAAACCAGAACTAATATTAGAAAAGGAACAAACATCTGTTGATAGGGGCTTTCTCCCTTCGTGCTAGATTCTGTTCACACAGCAAGCGGTCTTTCCTAAAGAGCAGCAGCTGACAGCTCCACCAGCAAGGTTTACTCCACCTGAGACCTGGAGTCCTGAGATCCAGAACCTCACCTGGAGCCAACAAGATAGGAGGTGTGAGACCGAACGGGGGGGGGGGTGGGGGGGGTGGGCATGGACGTCTTGGCCCCACAGATAGATGTACACTTCCATCTGGCCTATCAAGGCACTGAGAAGCCTCAGAAGGAAGAAAGGCAGTGGTCCGTGTAGACCTGTTCCACTGCCCGGCAGGTCATAGCACTGCAGTCCCAGAGGAGCAGAGGGGACTGACAGCCAGCGTGGAAACAGCCTGAGGAGGTGAATTTAGCACACTCATGTACCAGGGGCAGCAAAGGGCTCTGGTGGTATGGCCTTAGCCAACGGTGGGCCTGGCACAGCAACCCGCGACTTTTTTGCGTGTGATCCTGCCACAGAGGCTAAATTAGAGACGCTATTTCCAGAAGGAAATACTTCAATCATTGTCACCAACTCACCAGTGAGGAGGGAGAGTGAGAATCCAAATGTAGAACCCAAGTAAGCGCACCCCCTCCTGTTTTCAGGAGAGCCCAGAACACATCTGTAGACACTAGTACCACGTACTTAAGTGGCAGCACTCTGCTTCGAGACGACAGTATCTGGGCTAGGAGAGTAGCTCACCGGTAGAAGGCTTGTATAACATGCACAGGTTCCTGGGTTCAATCCTTAACACCACAAAAGCAGCCATCCCTCTTCCCCCAGAGACTGTGACCCATGTATGAGACAAGCATATCCACTGTGATAGTCAAGGAGCCCAAGGACAGTAGCTTCTATCATGGGTTTTGTGACCACGGCCTGTCTGGGGCTTGGCTTACTCATCTCAAGTCTGAGGCAATCACTTCCGTCCATCAGCTCTCCATTTTCCACACAGATGAAGGGATGGATTTTTTCACAGCCTGATTCTTCTTGGGCATCACTCACATAGGATTCTACTGACTACATGCCTGGTCACGACTTGTCACTGAGCAGCTAAGTTCCTTTCCGTGGCTGGCCCATAGCTCCCGTCCCATAGACAAGATAGGTAAGCAGTTTCCACACAAGTTGGCTGGTGTCCTGTCAGAAGAGCTGACTTATCCAAAGCGTGTGACACCCCCCACCGCTACCACCAGCTATGAGTGGGCCCAAAGCTTCTGTCGGGGCTGCGTGAGAGCAGCTCACCAGGTGTGTGACACACGCCTACAATCCAAACACGTGGGAGGAAGAGGCAGTCAGGATAACCAGGAGTCAAAGGCCAGCCTCTGACACAGGGTAAGCTGGTGTGACCCCATCAGAAGCAAGCAAAGCAGCAGGAGTGACTCACACCCAGTCAGAAGAGCCAGCTCAGTGGCAAGAGCCGGCCACATTACTCATGGGGCCAGACAACCATCCACGAAGTAGGCAGAGGAGTGGATGACAACCCCAGTGTGGAGCACATCCTCACATGAGAGCCAGAGTTCATAGCCTCTAGAAGGAAAAAGGAAGGGTCCTGACTGCAAATCCAGTCTCTGGTCTCCATCTTTGGAGGCCCTGCCCCTGTGCCCCTTGCACCTTGCCCTCTCTCCAGAAAAAGTAGCCCACCAAAACTTGACTCCTCCCCAGAAAAGGTCAAGACCACTCCCCCTGTCTATTTAAGCTGCTCCCCCCAAAAATAAACACATGGTCGCCCGCCCCACCCCGTGTTGCGGCTGTCCAGTTCCCCTTGGGGTCACCCAAGAGCACAGGAATCCAATTAAACCTGGATATTTTTTAATTTGGTCTAATTTGATTTGATTAGGATTTTTTTTAAAAATATTTATTTATTTATTTATTAAGTATACAGTATTCTATCTGCCTGTATTCCTGCAGGCCAGAAGAGGGCACCAGACCTCATTACAGATGGTTGTGAGCCACCATGTGGTTGCTGGGAATTGAACTCAGGACCTCTGGAAGAGCAGGCAATGCTTTTAATCACTGAGCCATCTCTCCAGCCCTTGATTAGGATTTTGATGTCAGCAGAGAACTCCTGTTAGGAAATATTCTTAACACTGACTTCCACATTTCTTGAAATATGAGCTTTGCAAGTAGGGGACGCTCGGTGGCCTAAAGGATGGCTTGCGTTAGCTGTACAGTAATGGTCAGAGGGAGAGGAAATGATCTTGTTCCCTTCGAGGAGCAGGGAGGCAATGCAGGGATTTGCACAGGACCCTGCACCTGCTACACAAATGCTCTACCACTGGGCCGCACCACATCCCCAGCCCCACTCACCCCAGTTCTTCACAGAAGGTCACCAGGGCATCGAAGGCCAGTAGGGTGGCTTTATCAGATGCTTTGTTCCCTCTCTTGTCCTGCCAAGAGAAAGCGACCACTTAGTCCTCCAGTCACAGCAAGTCCTGAAGGAGAGAACACGGAAGGACAAGAAAGCCACTCCCCCGAGCAGCACCTTAGGCCCCTAGGGACGATATATCAGCATCTTCACTCACTACTGAGTTGGACTTTCGAGGATGGGAGCTTTTGAGAACTGACATTTCCAAACAGATCACCTTTCCAAAAAAAGTGATTCTCATGCAAAGAGCTCTGGGACTGACATCTGGGAAACTATGATTCTACCCAGTTCTGTTTACAGTAAATACAAGCTCTGAGTACTAACACATGTATATGAGTATATGTGCTAATGTACATACCAGAGGATACAACCTAAACTGCTAGCCCTGGGCAGATAAGATTGTGCATTATTGGCTCCTTCTATAGCTATTACCAAAAGTTCCTTAAAAAAAAAATTATTGAGCAAGGTTGTGGTGGTGGTGGATGCTTTAATCCCAGCACTCAGGAGGCAGAGAGACATGGACCTCTGTGAGTTCGAGGCCAGCCTAGACTATAGAGCAAGTTCCAGGACAGGCTCCAAAGCTACAGAGAAACCCTGTCTTGAAAAAAAACAAAACAAACTTCTCAATTTAGGGTCAGTGAGTCAGTGAGTGGCTTACTGGGTAGGCACTTACTAAGCCTGATGGGCTGAGCTCAGCACCCACATGGTAGGAGGAGAGAACTGACCCCCAAAAGTTGTTCTCTGACCTCTACATGCACTCAGTGGCATGTGCTCACACACAATAAATGTAAGAAAAAAAAAGTCTCACTTTAGAGGGACTGGAGAGGTGGCTCTGTGGTTAAGAGCACTGGCTGCTCTTACAGAAGTCCCGGGTTCAATCCCCAGCACCTACATGGCGGCTTACTACCATCTGTAACCCAAGTTCTAGGGGATCCATCCCTCTACTGGCCTCCTTGGACACCAAACACACATGTGGTACATGTACACACATGCAAGTAAACACTCATGAACATCAAATAAAATTTTAAAAAATTAAATAAAAAATACAGGAAATAGCTATCTGGAAGCAATATTGAAATTTTGCATTTAGTTTCTTCATCGCCCAAGACACAGAAAAATGCACACTTCGTGGGGAGACAAGGGCACCGAGATCATGAAAATCAGCAGTCTACGACCGCATGGCTGAGGAGTGCTAACGAGACTCACTACTTTGTATGCTAGTCTAAAGAGCTCAGAGACTGCTCAGCAGCTAAGCACACACTGCTCTTGTAGAGGGCGCACAGTCCAGCTCCCAGCACCCACATGGTGGCTCACAATTCTCTGTAACTAGTTCTAGAGCTCTCATGCCCTCTTTTGGTGTGCAAAAATCCCACTCACTCATGCATGCAAAACACTCGTGTGCATTAAAGCTAAGAGAAGTTTTATTATTTTTTTAACCAATGTGTATGAGTGTTCGCCTGTATGGATGTAGGTGCACCACTTGTGTGCCTGGTGCCCACAGAGTCCAGAGGAGCATCAGGTCCCCTGGAGCTGGAGTTACAAAGAGTTATGAGCTGTCAT